GGCCCTGTGATTGACCTTACTCAGGCCTTGATGGAACTGGAAATGAATAAGAAAGCTGATAGCCCTGATGGTGATAGTCAACTAGATGGCACTCAAGGTACGAAATTCCATCATCGGCCACCTACCAGCTCAGGAGCTCGAAACATGCAGGACTCAAGTTTCGCACTGAGTGGTATGTCCTTGTTTTAATTTTAAATGGACTTCTTATATCTGACCGATTTTTACGTGTTCAGATATATGGCGCCTACAACTAAACGAAGTTCACCGAATTTTCGTAAAATTATCTATCCTAAATTGAAAATAATCTCATGCAGAAAAAACGTATAGACCTGAACTACTTATATGATCAGCAGGAATATTGATTATTATTACCATAATGCCATAGTTATAGCGTAGAGGATTTTGAGAGTTCCTCAATCAATATTTGTGCATTTCCTCAACATGTTGATTTATTGAAATGGTCAAGCCGTGACTTAGGCTTGATGTTATTGTTATTGTCCATTTCACAGCGAGAGAAATTTTGAAAGTTATCATGGGAGGTATGAAATGTTTAGGGCTCTAATTATGGTCAATAGCTGCATTAAGAGCATTGATAAACATTATTTCTAGTTTGCTTTTCGGCCCTAGATCCATGTGTGAAATTATGCACACTTTGTTTGGAGGTCGTTTATCAGTTAGTTTATTTTCATGATTCGTCAGGTTTCCTCAATTTAAGCAATGTATATTTCCTATGGGTAGGAATTCCTTCCTCCATATTTAATATTTTTTTGCAATTTCACGAGTGCTTCCATTACGAGGTGATTCCTTTTTCTACTTTTTCAGGATCTCAATTTGACGATAAAATGCCCTCTCGCACATCAACACGCACAATGCAACCCCCCGGGGGGAAATCCACTTCCCTTTGGTAGATTGTGGAATTGGATTGCTTCTACTGTCCCCTTTCAACGTACTACATTCTCTCTTCTTTGTGTTGTTCTTAACCACTTTTCTTTTTTCTGTTCAACCTTAAAGTTGAAGGACCATTGCCGGGATTCTCACTTTCCCTACATTGTTATAGATCACATCTTCAATCCCCACCCAACCCCTTTTCTGTTTCCAACTCTTAGTGATCACTAAATTTGCCTGTTGTACCCGGAACGAGCAGTTTATGCTTTTGTTTTTCAAGGCGATTTTATAAATACCGATTGTATCGAGGTTGCTCATACATCTTCTGTCATAGACGTGGAATGTCATTCAAGTCACTAGTTGCTGAACACGTCATGACGGCATCTCTAAATCATTGCCGGTTAAAGGGACTTTCGTTTCTCCGGTGCGTTTTTGGAAGATTAGGATGGCTATGGCCAGGAGTATGGAGCGGTACCTGGTGTTTAAGACTGCTCATAAAGTGCGGGCCTAATAAGAATGTGCAAAAGGCGTAAAATACTAATAAGAAAAGAGTGATCTTGAGCAAAAATTTAGGTGTAAATATGGGATGGAAATCAAGAAGAATGTTCTACAATAGCTCAAAATGAGTATGGGCGGGTACTGGGCGGTTAGCGGTATGAGGGGCATCAAAAGTTTATTGTCAGAGGGAATCTAGGGGCAAAAGTGGTCACTGTTAAAGTCGATCGAATCCTGGGTAACGATACTAGTAGATCCACCAAATTTAGGACTTAATTCCTCCCCTAGAAATAAAATTCATAGGTCTGGCAGGAGACACCATCGTCCACCAAGAAAGACAAAAATTGTGTAAAATCACGGAGTCATTGAACCATTGGAGAATGAGAGGAATGGAGAACGAGGAATAGGAAAGAAACGCTATTGCTGCGTTAGACAGAAACATTTTTGTGATTATTAAGTGAGTTTCCAATCATTTATTTATATCAAATGGCAGGCGTTTTGATGGTCATCATTAGCCCTTTAGTTGACTTCAGGCTTCACAGAGGGGAATGAACATCAAAATGAAAAAAGTAGAGAGGGGGGGGGACAGAAGAGTGTTTCAAAGACGAAGGTAGAAAAGGTAGAAAGAAGGTGAGATGCGTACTATGGAAGTAGTCGAATATGACAACCAGGGGGGTCGTGGAAATTTGAAGTGAGAAGTCAACTGCCGGTTAATGGACTTTTTTTTGCCGTATGAGTATATGTTGCCCAGTGTGCACCGCGTGGAGGTAAGTCTATCGCACACCCCGGAATGGAAGAGGTAGGAGTAGGAATTGAACTCGAAGCCCAAGGTCTAGGTGTCAGCTTTGTCTTGGATGAAATTTGAATTCGGAACTCCACAGATTGTCTGCTTTTTCTCATATTACCCTCTTCCAATGTATTGATTGGACATTTGTCTTTAGAATTTAAGAGAAGGTGCGTAATCCATGATGATTCGTATGACAGATACGGACCTTGTCAATTTTTTACCACATTTTCATTTACCACCCTATAGGGGTATCTGGACAGATCGAAGTAGTTAGTTCTTACCGCACTACTTCAAGATAGCTTTTTGAGAGGTGATGAGATTTATTAAAAACTAGTGCTGTCATATTTGCTTCAAGTTGCATTCACACGCTAAACTTTTAGGTATGATACAGTTCCATCATTTCTATCTAGTGCTTTATTTAGATGTGAGCATCGTTTTTTCTCTGAAAAAATTCTATTTCTTCTGAAAAGGACTATTCCGACAAAACGTTGGCATTTATTTAAGTTTCCAAATCGATTTTGCTTTTAAGTAAATGGCCCATTTTGACAATTTTCAGTTAAAGAGGAAGTGAAATATTCAGTTTATTTGAGATATTAAACAACTTCTTTCACGTTGTACTCTATCCACTTAACGAAATTAAGTGAAATTTCAAGTTATTTCTATTGTAGCATCTTCGTGTATCGCCTTCCACTTCCTCGGAGTTTAATGCATTCTGAGAATAACAACCTTCTCTCAAAATTGTTTCATTTTCATCAAATCTACTTATTTTGAGTTAGAGGCGCCATATAATGCTTGGCATTTCCAAAAGAAACTCACTTTTTTGTCGATTACAGGCCTTAATTGAGTTGATAGGCAGTGCTTTAAGCGTTATTTAAACATCTTGATTTTTCTCTTGTTTTCCGATTTGTTCTTGCAATACTTTCTTTTTGAAAATGTTATTAGTTCAATTAGCCAGTCTTGTAATAAGACAAGTGAGAAACACAAGTTCCTGATCGTGCAAAGTTCCAATTATTGACTCGGCTCCTACTTGCCATTTTTCGTTTTCTACTTCTGAAAAAAATTCACAATGTAGCAAACTTTTCCTCTTCTTATTTGCGCTGCCTTTTTTGGAAAAAGCTGATTTTCGCACTTTTCTACACGCCTATTTTGAGCTTGAAGAGTGGTGGGTCAATCGTTTGTATCTCAATTTTCCCACCGCCTTTGGCACATTATATCAGCACACATCTGCAAATGTGCTGTCAAATCTCTGCGGTTCCCTCTTCACTTCATACCTCGGAGCGTGAACAATAGTCCGTGCCTTTTTTTAATCGTCCTCTGTTCTGTCATGACTCTGCGTTCAGAATGCGATACACATGCATACTGCCTATTGACCTTGCAGTTAATCTCGACAATCGATCCATCCTTACTCGCTCCCTCGCTCTACAGTAGCATCAGCAGCAGCAGCAGCAGTAGTAGATACTATTATTCACTTCTGCTTTGGTATGGTCTTGTCGGGTACACTTGTACGAAAAGAGCACTAACCCAAGTAACTGAAGGTGAAGCACATCTGTGTACTGCTTGTGATGTGACTTATTGATTCACTGATCAGTAAATTATCTTGTCGGTTGGGGGGGGGGGCCTTATTTATCACCTTAACCCCAGCACTGCTTTATCAAATTGATACGATTAAACTAAGTCAACTTTTACCATAAGGTTAGTTCGAAAGAGATTTCTATTGGTAAAAAAATTACTTAAAAAGCATATAACTGAGTGTGATATTTACGGATTTACCAATCAAACTGTGTTTGGCATTTACCTAGTGGTGGGATTCAATCATTTTCCTAAGCAATTGCCTCTTGTCGCAATTTCCTTCTGAGGATCCAGGATTTGAATCTCAATTTTGATACCCCTTTGTTGAGAGATAATACGTTCTTATTTGTTGTGCTCTAGTCTGCGTAATCAGAGGCCCGTGCTTTACGCATTGGTCTAAC